ACCAGACTTGGAAATGGAGTTGCTGCATGCCTGCCACTGAGGAAGCAATGTTTGATTATCAGTAATTCACATTTACCTAGGTAAGGACTGCTTTAGTAGCTCAGAGGTTTGTGGTGGATCAATGCATGCCGGTCAATCGTGCCTGTTACGCTTTCTGTTTAATTAGGTCGAGGCTGCTTAAACAGCTGCCCTGCTCTGCGTCCTCCCAGATGCCATCCGCGATAGGGCTCTAAATGAACTTTCCTATTTACCTGATTTTAATTCAGGATTTTAGGAATATCTTCATGGCATATATTGTAAACCATACATTGCAAACTGCATATTGGCTTGCCATAATAGGACCGAGCACTGGAACAGGCTACCTGGAGAGGTTGTGGAGTCTCCTTCCCTGGAGATATTCAAAACCCGTCTGGACGCGATCCTGGGAAACGTGCTCTAGAGGACCCTGCTTGAGCAGGGGGGTTGGACTAGACGATTTCCAGAGGTCCCTTCCAACCTCAACCATTCTGTGATTCTGTGACATATGCAGGCCTTTTATAGCTAAGGAGTTCCCCTCGTATGAACGGGTTGGCCCAGGAATTAATCTGTCTTGTTAGAAATGTGAGCCTGTACCTGCTGTTTCTTCCTGTGAAAGCTGTCTCTTTGTAAAGTGTGATTTAGGGTGAAGGAAGATGGGCTGGCTGCACATGACCAAGATAAGCAATTTGGAGACTGCTACCGTGAGTACGGTTGAAGAGGCGTGGTGAAGAACTAAACAGTGACTGCAGTATTTGGATAGCAAAACCTAGGTATCTAGAAGAGATGTACAGTCAGAAACTATTTGTGCTTAATTTGAAGTAGATGACTAAAAATCTAATTGCTACATGTATACTTACTTACTAAATACGTAAGGATATGGAAGTAAAAGAGTAAACATAGAGAAATTGAGTCCAGAAAATTCTTGGTTTGGCATTTGAGATTCTCTGAAGATCTCTTAAATATTTGTATGTCGTGTTGAAAATAAATGTGCTTCTTGAAGTGCTGAATACGTTTCGGTGACGGGTACTGACCTGGGGCTGAGGTCTGCAGTGCAACGGATCCCCTGGAGAAGCGGGGGGACGCCCTCTTGCTGTCTCGCGGAGAAAGGAACGAGCAGGCAGGCCTGCAACTTGCTTGGTTTACGTTTGTTGCGCTGTCATAAGCGAGGGCGTTTTTGTTGGATAAAAGAGGTATGTTAGAAAGAGTGCGTGCGGGGGGAAATGCATTAATACAGCAATTTGTAAAATCTCGGCTAACTGCCGCTAGGCCAAAGTGAGCCTGGGAGAGCTGTTCCCTTAATCTGAGGTAAGGTGGTGCAGTGAGAGACGTTTTCCCAGCTTTCTGGGTGTGGACTTGAGGTGTTTAGGAGGCTAACCCTGCCCCTCGCTGCTGCTCGGGTCTCAGCAGCAGGCTCCTGCGACGAAGGGGGCGCAGGTTCCCGCAGGTCGTGCCGCCGTGTGGAATGACAGGACTTGCTGGCATCTGCTGGTTTCTAGCAGTGGGAAGCTGCTGCTCTGTTGGCCCTGGGTGGCAGAGGGACCCCAGAGAGCCGTTGTCTCAGGCTGTGCCTTTGTTCACGTTTTGCACATCCCTCTTCTCTTCGTTATCCTGACTTCTGGCTGAGTGGACAATAGGCTTTCTTTTCTTTAAGATATGTCACTTTAAAGAAAGAAACTGAAACAAGCTCTGTTAGTCATGGTCCTCAGGTGTTTAGGTAGAGCAGGATTTGGCAAACAAAGCCCAGTGGGAGTATAAACCGGTCGTTCTCTTGCTGCCAAAATTTTTGAAATGGCTTGATCTGATGATGTAGGTGGAGCTGTTAGGGGAACCAACAGCAAGATCGCTATCACTTTCCATTATAAAACCGGGTTTCATTTGCTTGTTCTTCTGCCGATCTTTAGTGATTTGGCTTGAAATGTCATGTGGTGGCTGAATTTTCAATACATACAGATGCTTACAAATAACTTTTATGTTGTTTCATGAAAACACGATAAATAATATTAGACATCCAAAAATGCACTCTGTGCAGTTCAAGGCTTAACTGAGTTGCCTCCAAGAAATTTGCAGTCTAAGCAGACAGGCTTCATCAGAAAATCAGAGAAATGAACATCTGTAGTGTGAGTTACTGTTTTTAAATAGTTAACCAGATAACAATATTTATTCTCTGCAGAGCAGCACGAAACATCAGATTTTCAGCCCTGAGAATATCCCTTTTGCTGCAAGGGTTTGCTAGACGCTTTCTGAGAGCTTCCGGCAAGGTCTAGTCATGCTCTGGCCTTTCCATAGTGGTCTATGGGAGAAATGGAGCGCATCCTTGACCGCGTTGCCAGAAAGCTCTCTGGATAGAGATATCGGTATATCGGGCACCTCAGAAGCCGCTCCAGAGGTGCAGTGGAGAACCACTGAAGGGATTAATGGAGGGCACTCGGAAAGCAACATGTTCTTGGCATCAAAGTGGCGGGAAGTGCTGTCAAAGGCAGCACTGTTGATTCAATGGGTGCTCTTGTGTTTGACCTCGGGCGATTCAGGAGCAGGCTCAAGTATGGTTTCTGTGAGAGGGATGGGGCAGGAAATGGTGCAGGTGGCTTCAGTGTAATCCGTGCTGGCCCGCGGGTCAGTGCTCTCGGAGAGGCCCAGGATGTAGGACCGCGTGGCCTTGTGCGTGGCAGTGCTTCAAATACACGTATTAGGTGAGGGGGAAACACTAGTGTGGATGGATATGGATACAGGTGTGCTGCTGCTTTGATGGTCGGAGCTTCTTTCAGTAGGCTGCTCGCGCCTGCTTCCCGCACTTACGAGCCATTAGCAGGGCTCTTATGATCACAGCCCTCAGGAACGGAGAGCTTGTGTTGCATTCGTTTCAAAGATAATTTTTAAATGTTATGTTTTGCAAACTGTCACTTCTGTGTGAGATCTGGCGTGTTTGAGCCAGCATCTAGAAGACCCTAAAGTGACTTGACTTCATGGCTTTTCTGTTTAATCTTCTGCCATAAGATGGCACTAGTTAGCTATACCAAGTGGGAGATTTTCCACTTTGTAGTTTAGAGTTACTTTTTTTTTCTAATGGCAATACCCACAAAGCGCTAGCTTCTGCCCACACATATCCACCACAATTTTCTTGGAAACTTCTGAAGATACACTGAATATTTGAGGAATAATATAAACCAACAGTTTGTTTTTCATTACGTATTACTTCATAGTTCTCTAATCCTCAAGATAAATGAGTAGTTTGTCTGTTTGGTGCCATCAAACAAAATATTCATGGACAATTTTAATTTGCAAGGACTAACATGAGTGACACAAAGGGCAAAATAGTCTTATTTTATCTTCTGGGAAAGAAAAAAATCTATAAAAATGATAACTTTTACAGTATTTACAAAAGTCAGTGTTTCTCACTTGTGTGCCTACAACTCAAATGCTAAAGAATCATTCAATCCATAATCTAAAAAGGAGTAGCTAAAGTCAGAATTTTAAGTCTTTTTAGGCATGTAAGTGAACCTTGAGCATTCAGCACTACATTCTTTTAAAAAAAAAAAAAAGCTGGAGTTTAAGAAAATAAACACAGAAAAGCACTCTGGATTTTTGGAACAATTTTAGACTTCAGTTTAAAACTGAATTAACAACACTTCTAACAGCACAAGAGACTTTTGACTTTTTTCACTTGTATCTTCAGCTAGCTTAAAGAAAAATAAGTAAACATTGTTATTTGCACTGCGCAGAGCTTTCAGATGTGTGTACTCATTTATTGTTGTCTTGATTTTTGGGTGCCCAACTCAAAAATGGTTTGTACTCTGGTAAAACGCAAGCCTCCTGTCAGAGGGTTGAGTCCCGATCAGGGCTGATCTCCGTACAGACCGACAAGGGCAGCGCGGGCCTGGCTGGGAAGAGCTGGCGGTTTAATTTTGAAAAGCTGTGGCAGAAATGGTGAAAATAAGTAGGTCTTGATTTTTTTTCACAGGTTAGGATGTCTGCGGCTACCATGGGTTTTCCAATAAAGATTTACCCAATGCAAGTTTTACTTGTGCGGTGCGGAAACGCTGGCCTGCTTGGCGCCCTGTATCGCACGGGTTTTCCGATTTTTCCCGGTACCCTGTATTAAAGGCACACAGGATTTTATTCCCCCTGGCTTTTCCAAGCCCTGCTCCCCGGTTCTCCTCCTCCTCCGACAGCGATCGTGCTCCCGGCGTGGCGTTGGCCCGTGCCCGTGATACCGAAGAGGAGGAGAGTTTGGGGTGGCGTGCTGCGCCCTGCCTCTTGCCCCAAAATCATCACAGCGAGGAGGGACAAGAGGAGGACGTTTTCAGGGTCACATCTGGTTACCTAAACGCTGGAGGCAGACCCCCATCGGGTACCTGGCAAGCTCCTTGCTCTGCGTTGTAGAAGCGAAACCAGACACGGTGCAGGCTGTCTTCCTGTGTGCGCTGATGGTTTGTTTTGCAGGACGTACACGGAGCAGTATGGTAACCAGTAAGCTAGCGGGACTGTACTCGCTGTTGCCTTAAATTTTTGACGAATTTTAAAGGAATTCTAGCTTTGAGGCCTGCTCTCTGTTGTCTTTCTCTGCTTTTCCGTTCCCGTTGGGGAGAAGCGGGGCAGATGTTTCTCGCTGGTGGCGCGCAAGGACGTGCTTGCCCGATCAGAGCCTCGGCGACGGCGGTCCCGC